GTTTACATTTAGATTTTCCTTTATGGGATTCCTCCTTCCAGGAACTTTGTTAGTAGAATTCACAATAACAAATGACAATTAATAAAAAGTATATTTTAAAATCTATGTAAGAGTTTTTCTCATAGGAGAGGAAGAATTAAATGTCATCTAAAATACTGGGAAAGCAGATTACAAAGTGGTATTCTATATGCAATAAATATGCCAGCATATCACCAACTTTAAACTTATAAAATCTGTTAACTGAATAGAAATCAAACATAAGGAAATATTTTAAAGGTATCAGTGCTATGGAATTATAGTGTTATTCTTTATCTTGTTTTAGTTATAACATGTTCCCACCATTAGTTTTCAGGAATACTGAATATTTAAGCACCACTGTATGACACTGTGTGCCAGTGATGTACCTGTACTTTCATCCTTTCAATAACCATTCAAGGTTAATATCCCCACTTAATAGGTGATAAAATAAGATTTCAGAATATCACACAGCTAGTAGAGACAAATGGCTGGTATACAAATCCAAATATGACTCCACAGCCCAGGTCTTTCCTCTTCAACATTGTGCCATGCCAAATCTCATTTGAAAATCAAAAAGTAAGTTATTTATTCCCAAACAATTTGATATACCATATTTCCTAAGGATGGGAGAAAATAACTTGAAAAAAAAAATCAAAAAAGCTATTTTTCCTTTCTCTGTGACAAAAATGAATATCTAATCCAATCACTGAGTTTACCACAGTACATATTAAAATTTTAAGTTTACTTTTCATTGGGCAATAAAACTAAAAAAGCATTCAAGTATGCTCATTAATAGTACCAATTCACTACAATTTCCAAATCAGTTTGCTTCAAAAGTGTATTTTGTACCCTATGCTATGAAGGGCTGATATCAAAGTACATCATATGTAACCATTAAAGAGAACAGAGAGCACAAAGTAGTTGGCATACACACCTGGTATTACATGTTCTCTTTTAAAGTTTTACTCAAAATAGAAAATACTAATGAACCACTTGGGCTAAATCATTTTCAAATTCCATAAGAAAACAGAAACTTCAAAGAAACAGTGGGCTTTACAAAGAAAACAATATACATATGCTGCAACATGGATGAACCTCGATGATATGCTAAGTGAAAAAAGGCAGTCGCAAAAAAAGACAAATACTGTATGATTTCAATTATATGCTGTATCTAGAGCAGTCAAACTCAGAAACAGAAAGTAGAATGATGATATAGAGACAGGGGAGGAAGAGAGAAATGAGTTGTTTAGTGAGTACAGGGTTTCAATTTTGCAAGACAAAAAAGTTCAGGAAATTGGCTGCATAATCATATGAGTATACCTAATACCACTTTGCTAAGAGTCAAATTTTGTTATAAGCATTTTATCACAATTAAAATAATTGTCTTTTTTAAAAAGATCCAATGATCTATTAATATGACAATGACACTGCAGGTATGTTTTAAAAACAAAATATTTAGAGATACATCTAAGTTGTTATCTGCAGGTCGATGGTATGTAATGTTCACTGTACTATTTTACTTTTGTAGAATGTTTACAATTTTTCTCAATGAAATAAACATAGTAACTTTTTTAAAAGGGAACCAATAAGGAAATGAAATTTCCTAACCAAGAGAACCATCTAGCATGAAAATATCTGATTATAGTTTAAACACGTAAGATGTAGTAACATTTTAGCCATAACTGATAAACATGTCACATCACTTATTTCACTTGAGAGAAAGCTGCTGAAAAACTAGATATTTACTGAGCTTGCATTGGAAAAACAATATGGAGAAAATTACATGAACAGTCTAAGTTTGCTATGAAAACAATGTACTTTTATTAAAATAATTAAAAGAAGCAACAAAAGGGAAATTTCACAAGCTTTGTTTGCAACTATATAATCTTTATGTAGAAAAACTATAAAGTGACAGTCTCATCTGGAAAGCAGCTCAACAATAAACCTAATCCTTACACCAAAAGTAACTAAATTATAAGAATTGGTTCACCCAAAAGAAACTGTCTTACTGTAGAATATTTTAGCCAAGCTGATTTCAACTATATTATTCTAACTTCTGACAAACTGTCTTTCCTGATATTTCAAATCACCAGAGATATAACAGACAAGAACCCGTTGAAGTAAAAGAATAAAACACAAATACTCCAAGCACAATTACATGTGACATGATGAGTGCATTTAATCTACAATCTACAAAACTATACAAATTACCAATTATACATATAATCCATTTACACTGAAGCTCCATGAGGTGGTACTGAATAAACACTGAGGCATCAAATTTTCAACAATGAACAAGGCTCACAGAACAGCAGCACATTCCCACCTTTTAGTCTATCATCACAACACATCCCCTGGGATTTGTACTTATTTGTGTATCATAAGTCTTAGGAAGTTGATAACAAAAATTTTAAAAGTCAAAAGGATAATGAATTAAACATTCCTTAAAATCTATTCTAAAACATGCATGCGAAATATGAAGAGACCAAGCCCTTTGTAAATGTGAGATTTGTACAGTCACATGTTCCTTTAAACTTATACTAGTATCTTCACTAGTATCTGCACAATTTCCTGTTATTAGGCTTTTCACTAAAACGTAATAGAAGAGAAAAAGAATAAACAAAAAAAACCAAACCTTATTTTTAAATTGTACAGTCTTAGAAAAGTGGCATTATTTATTTTTAAAACCAACCTTCTCTGCTAAAGAAATCACACTGTGTGATCACCAGAACAGTTTAAGTCACTTTGGCAATACAGAGATTTATTTACCCTTATTATGAATGATAATGATGATAAACTATTGTCACGGTCATGTAATTTTTCAGAACTTATGGGCCACCATGGAGGCAAATATGTACAGAATATTTCTAATAAACCTAAATTTAATCATGGTTGAAATTTCTCAAAAATATTTTCAAGTGCTCAAGAATATTAAAATTTGGGGGGAAATACATAAGTAATAAATAAGCAAGTATTCTCTCCAAGATTCAGTAATTGGGATAAAAGTCTCAGGGTAAGCCCACAAGAATGGTCTGTAATAAAGAAAAATCAAGGCCAGGCGCAGTGGCTCACACCTGTAATCCCAGCACTTTGGGAGGCAAAGGCGGGCAGATCACAAGGTCAGGAGATCAAGACCATCCTGGCTAACACAGTGAAACCCCGTCTCTACTAAAAATACAAAAAATTAGCTGGGCATGGTGGCGGGCGCCTGTAGTCCCAGCTATTCAGGAAGCTAAGGCAGGAGAATCGCTTGAACCCAGGAGGCAGAGGTTGCAGTAAGCCAAGATCATGCCACTGCACTCCGGCCTGGGTGGCAGAGGAAGACTCTGTCTCAAAAAAGAAGAAAAATCATGTCTGTGTAATTTCTGCCACCTTTAGCAGAAAACCCAAAAACATTCTGAGCCAAACAAGAGCATCTTTTGAGTCAACGCTTTTTGCTGTGTGAGTTCTTTAATTTCTAACTTCTCAACATGGTATAGCTCAGAAATTCCTATATGCTTACTATCTGTAATAAGGAACTACAATATCAAAGACAAAATTCACAGACATGATCATTTTCCATCATAGGTCTCTCTCTCTTTAGTAAGAAACAGACCACCACTTACTCATTTTCTCTCACCTATAGAAAAGAGGGGAGTTAAAAGTCATTAACCTAGTAAACAATCCCTGTGTATAAACATTAAGTTGGAGGGTAAAAAGCCTAAGTCATGCCCTTTATAAGAACCATGGATAACCACTCTGGCATGTAGCTGTGGTAGAGGACAGTAGGTGTCTATAGATGGAACATGGTCTTTCCTGTAACTGGAAGACCATGCTTATGAACATTCTAATCAACCTATGGAAAATCTGCTCTGTAACTTGAGTGTTCTTTAGATAAGAAACATGAATAATGAACTATTATAAAAACATGGTAGAATATCTTGCCCCTTATAAGTCACCAATTTCTGATCCCATTAAACTTTCATAGAATCCATGGGGTTATTAAGTAGGTTTACTCTAGATATTTTGTCATGAAGTAAAACTGGAAATAACCTATCTAATGATACCATTTGCAATTCAAGAAAATAAAATCCAATACAATCTAATACTTACATGAACACACTTCACAGAATACATATTTTATCAGGCCTAAGAAATCCTCACAAAACAAAGTCAGTTTCACCCACTGTAAGATAAACCATGATACGCATCTGAATCCAGATAAAAAGAACTGTTAAACTCCACTGCAGTAGGAAAAATATTACAAATAAGCACCCAAAACTGACCTAAAATTTTTTACTCAATCCTGCTTCTCCAGGATGTCTTTTTTTAGAAAGAGAGAGAAATAAGCACCCCTTGCAACTTGACTGGAAAAATTACCTGAACAATTATTTCTAAGCCTATACTAGATACCAGTGTTAAGATGGAATGCCAAAATCACCACCAATTCAACACTATCATTATTTTTGCAAAGTAAGGTAGTTATAAAATTCCATTCTCCCAAGCAATGAACAGGGGAGAAAATAATGTTACTTTTTAAATGGCTACATTTATAGGTTTTTGAGTATCAGCACCAAATGTTCACTTTTCATTATTCTAAACAAATCTTAGGAATTAATGTTTCCTAACAAAATGGACTAACAAAACAGTGAATGATAAGGAAATAACTGTCAAGCAATATTTGCATGCTGATAAGAACCATTAAGTGAAACAGTGACTGGCTCATTTCCAAAGCTATTATAGGTGTGCACAGTTTGGAAATAGTGTATCTCACTGCTCAGCTAATATAGCTACTCTCCAAATCATGGATACAGCATCTTAATTTGTGACTAGGCAAGATTAAGTAAAACAAGTTGAAAATATTTTATTAAAAAGCAAACTAAATCAAAATAATCCATTGTTAGAATATTTTCTACTTTCTCTTTTAGGGAGGAAAAAAAACCCCAAACCACTGTATAAAGTACCTACATAAAAAACTGAAATCAAGATTCACAAATAATAGTGTCAGTTCAATTCTACATAACCCTTTATTATAATTGTAGCAATATTACGACCACCAACATTACACGTTTTATTTCTTCCTTATACTGTAGCAAATTTATTTTCATAATAGAGTTCAACTCTGTAAATGGTTTAGATCAATTTTTTGCACCTTGAATTTACAAACCATTAGATACTAAGTTTCCTGAAAAACATTTTATTTTTAAATTTTACTTAAAGCTATAACTAAACCCAAGTCTCTTGAGGGGTGGGGAGGAAACCAACTAAGCTGTTTAAACAGAAACTTGTAAAAAAATATTTTGATGCCAGTGTTTGAAAGACAGCCTACAGAAGATTATAAAAAGTCAACTATCATACAAGAGAATTCTATGGCCAAACCTTGTTAGAAAATTTCTTTTACAAATAAACTTCTTTCATGATAGAAGAGGAAATGAAGAAGATATTTAATTTTCCCCTAAAAGTAAGTAGTTACTCACAACATGGGTTGGATGTATGGAATACATATTGCTTCTGTGAAAAAATGTTTTATCCAGGCATCCCACTAACAAAACACCATGCCATATCTGCCTAGTCTTTTGCTATCTGGGTATTAGTATTACCCAAGAGAAACTTATCAAAGAAAATGGTTAGCAAACCATCAAATAGGAGTTTCAGGTCCCTTAATTTGGATAGTCATCTTTGTAAATAAAAAACTTAAGCTACTTTAACACTGGAGCTTATAAAGTGCATCAGGTTTATGAAACACAACAGTAGTACGAAACTCAGTAGGACTTTAAGGGACTTAGTATCACCAGCGGGGCAAAAAAACAACATTATAGTTTTCTGTTCAGATTTTATTTGAAATCTAATTCAAATTTTCAAAGCTACAAAAGGGGGGAAGACATCTGTACTATTTTTGCTAAGTCACAACATCCTAAAACAAAATATTACTACTGCCAGCAGATCCATTATACACATTTCTGATGAAATTCATTAGCACAATAAAATTTCACCTTTGAGAAATAGCCACAATGAAAGTAATTTACACAATATAAAACAATGACAGATCTACAGATGCAGTTACCTCATGAGTTTACACATGCATTCACAAACAAACAAACAAAAAACCCCAGGAATGCTCTTTCATTTGATTTTTTGTTTTTGTTTTTTTAAAAAACAGACCGTTCAGGCACAAAACAAATGGCATTTCCAATAACTGACAGCATCTTAAAAATTTACGTCAGTGTTTGTTTTTCTTTGACTTTTTATGAGACCTGTGTGGAGATCTGGACTGGGATCTGGACTTCTTCCCTGATTTTTTAGGGGATCTAGATCGTGACCGCCTAGACCTTTTAGGTGTCCTTGAACCAGATGGTGATCTAAGGAAACAAACAAAAAAATCCCAATTGATCAAAGTATTCATGTGATCAAAGCTGATTATCCTTAAACTATCAAAAATTATCTTTAACAGAGCACAGTGAAAAATCACTGGAATAGGACAAAAAACTTCTAAAATTTAAACTCTGTCTATTGTACATACACACAGATTTATTTTGTACTTACTATGCACTGCATCAATGATCACCGGTAAAGCACTTGTTTATAAAGACAGATTTCTGTGCCTTACCACTGCTCTACTGCATCAAAATCTCTAGAGGTTGGAACTGAGAATTTGCATTTTTAACAAACTCCTCAAATGACTGTTAATCCCCAAATTTGAACCTTTAATCTACAAGATAAAGTTCAAAGTTGCACTTAAGATCATTCACAAAATTTAAAGAACACAGCAGCTTTGAAGTTTATCATCTTAAAGCAAACAACTACTGCAGTATCATTCAACAGCATCATTTAAGATTATAGTTTCTTAAGTGCTGTTCATGAAGATTAATCAATATACATGTACATATACATACATACATATATATCACATACATATATATGTAGGTGCCATTTAGAAAAGGAGAAAGGTATCTATTCTACAAAGATTTTACTAAAAATAGTTATAATAATAAAGTACTAACATATAAAGCAGTTTTAGCCCTCAGGAAAATTCCTCAATGTATCACCAGATAAATAAAACATTTCTGAACCATTTTTTCTGGAACTAAAAAAGTATATAAAATACTACATACTTTAAAAATGGTATTTATAATATGTATTTCCAAAAATCTCTACCCAAGAACTTGCTAATAATATTGCTATGGGGAAAAAAATGTGTGTTTATTTCAGCTTTGACAAAAATAAAAGAATATTCTATAGAAACTAAAGAACAGAATGAAAAGTAAAGCAGCTAACCCTATTCCACAGGAAACACTGGATATGATGTTTAAAATTCTTGGCTGATCCTCACTCATTGGAGGCCTTATACTTCAGTCATGAAAGAGATTGGGATGAGGAGGTGGGAAGGAATAACCAAAAATGAAAGTGTTATCTCTTTGGTTTTCTAAGATCCTTTAAAAAAAAAAGTATGCCAACCAAATTATTTTCAAAAGCTGGTGAAATGACAAGGAAATTGGTATCTGAAATATTAGCAAAAATGACTTGCATTTACCTTTTGGCTTTTTTGCTAACATCTCTAGGAGAATCTTTGTGAGATGACCTGGACCGTGAGCTCTCTTTATGAGATCTTTCTGAACGCTCTGATCG